GAACTCTAAAGAAAACCAGGTATAGAAAATAATAGGCGATTGCTTAGGTGTTCCACTTAAGACTCGGAGGTCCAGCACTACTATCAGGACAGGAGGGTTTGAGTGTGTGGGCCTACCAAGGCCTTGGCTTGCATCACCAATCCACATATGGAGTTAGCCCACCCACTGCCCTCCAAGTACCACGCATTCTCCAGTACCTAGTCAAAGGCTACATCTCTAACTAGATACCTTACTCAATTTGGTCATTCAACCATAACATGGATTAACTACCTCCATGTCGCTCACACAGTACTAAGGGATTCAACTTTAAAACAACTTTCAACTTGTCATTTTAGTACTATGTATCTCAACATAGGACATATATCTTCACCATATGTCCCCAACTTTACAACTTTACAACAATAGACATTTTTACACAACTTTACAATAATAGGTATCTTTACACAACTTTATAACAATAGGCATCTTTACACAACTTTACAACAATAGGAATCATAATCTCAACTTGAATAAATAAATTGAACAACTATAGTCATCACAATGTCAACGTTATGACTTCACAACTATAGACATCCTTCATTCAACTTTACAACAATAGTCATTTTGATAACTTTAAATCAACTCAATGCAACTTAACAACTTTAAACAACTTTACAACAATAAACTACTTCAACATATATACATCTCGACTTATTAATAATTCAACAATAGACAACATGTAAACAACTTAGTTTTATCAAATACACAACATGTAAACAACTTAAGTCAACAACTACTCAACTCATCTTCATCAAGCAACTTACCAACATTACAACCTTATAAACAACTTCAACAGTATACAACATATTCAACTTTTAATACAAATCAACCAACATTTTTAAAATTCCTCTATCATGCCAACTTACACAACATAAACAACATAAATCAACTTAAGCACTCAAAACAACTTTTAACTTAACCAAATCACTCCTTGTGAAATGACAACCTTTACATAAAATAGCATATCGAGAGTTATACTACTCCTATCATGCTCATCCTTATCTCATATGAAATATAAGAAGATTTCCTACAACTATTATGAAGACATAAAGTCCTAATTCCATCGTCTGCTTTGTCAAAACTTACAAAAACCGCAACAAACTGACAACTTGACCCTTGTTCACTAAAACAACCATATTTGGAGTTCTAGACCTCCTTTTTGTGTGATTCTAGCGCCATTGGAAAGCTAAGATCTAATGCTACAACTTTACCTCCAAGAATTCTCCCCTGGCTCGTGGCCCCCAAAGTGCTCAGCCCTTCAAAATGGCTTAGCCATTTCAAAAGCGCTCAACCCTTTAAAATAGCTCAGCCCTTTGGTTCCAGAAACCCTCCTTTGTCACGCAGCCCCTAAAGGGCTCTGCTCTTTAAAACGTCTCAGCCGTTTATGACAGAACCCACATGTTCTTCACTATTTTCACTCAAAACCTACGATCTCAGAAGAATCCAACACATGAAAATTTAAGAATGCGGTAATACCTTCACTAAACAACACCTAAAACACAAGAACAGCTACATGCAACCACTTATGCAAATCAAGCATCTCTTTTTCTTTTCAACAACAAAACCCAACCTTTTTTAACTCAAAACCTCAAATTAATCCACACATACAACTGCATGTCAACAAAATTGTGTTCAACAGTTCATTCTAATTGAAAATTAGTCCAAATTAACAAGATACGGAGTTTCCCTAACCTGAGAGGAAGGAAAATCCGACTCCAAGCTAAAGAGAAAGGAGAACTAGAATTGGCCGCATGACTCTGAGGTTTCCGAGCTCCGTGAAAGAAGAATGTGGAACCTCAGAGCAACTACAAAAGAGAGGAAAATGAAGTTGGGAAATGAAATAGCCAAGCAATCTACTCTTAGAATCCACCCTCTTCTTGCTTCAGTCTTGAAAAAAATTGGAAGATGATTCAGTAAAGTAAAGAAGGAATAAGGAAGAGTGACCGAGGAAAGGAAGAAAAGAAAGGGACAACAAGGGCATTACAAAAGACATTTGTTATAGGACAGGAACAGTTTGTTGGTTAAAAGAAGTATAAGAAATGTGTAAAAAGAAATTAATTCGTTATGAGGAAGTTTCGTTCTTTTTCTTTATTAAGAACCTTTTCTTTATGGGTAACCATTTAATGATTGAAATATTCTATAAGAAGTATGTTTTTCTCTTTTTATATTATTCGTCTTCTTCAAGTTTGTTTGCATTCTTCTCCAATTATAGAAACGTTTGTACTTTGTATGCAATTGATAGAGCAGCTTTGCTTCTCCCGTACAAAAGTTGCATTCGTAAGAAAAATTTAAAACGGAATAGTTAGGAAATTGTTGATGTTTCTTCGTTTGAAGAAGGATTACAGATAAGAAACTGTCGCAACGTGCTACTCCAATCATACTAAATGGCCGTTATAATTCAATTTCTTAATAGGAATAATAATTAATTTCATACTCGATGTATTTTATTAAACCCTAACAATGAAATTTCAACCTATAATAAACAACTCAAAATTTTCAGTATGCAAATTCTGATTTGAAGTGTATAAAAATGAGAAAGTATCTTATCATAAGAGATTAGAAGATTTAATAATAGTTTTTGGATTAAAATTAGTAATTGAAATTAAAACTCAATAATAAATAATTTCTTATAAAATAATAATAATAATTAAATTATTATATTTATAATAATTATTATTATTATCACTTATTGTCACTATTATAATTATCATGTTATGATTTATATTGTTATTAGTTGTCACGTGGTGACAATAATAATAATGAAGGTAACAACAATAATAATAAAAACATAATAAAAATGATAATAGTAATGATAGTAATAATATCAATTTAATATCATTACTTAATTATTATTGTTATTATCATTTTTATCATTATGACATACTATCATTATTTTTTAGTAATTTATAGTAATTTAAGAAATGTTTGGGAAAAAAGACGGCATTGTCATGCTCTACTTTCCTAGGAAGATCATTTGTCAAATTTCTTATAAATTTTAAAATATTTTTGTAAGTTAAATTTCATATCTCAAGTTTTTTTAAGTTTCAGGATTTTTGTAACATTTTATACCAATCAAACTAATTTTGAAGTTTTATAATTTATGTTTGATAATTTAAATACATAGTTTTGAATTAAAATGAGTATATGATGGGTTTGAGGAGTACGGAATCATCGTAAATGAGTATATGTTGGTAAGCCTTGAATCCTAAATTTTGGATATGGCATTTGTGGTAAGAGTTGGTGTCCAATTCAATAAAAGATTATACTTTTCTACGTTAAAGGACAAGTTTTATATTTTGCAAGAAATTTTGTGGTCGATTTTTTTTATTTGAAAATCTTTTAGATGAATGATAGTTATAATATTATATTATAAGGAAAATTAGTCTCTAACATAGTAAATTGAGAGTAGAAAAAAAAAACATCAAATACAACACTACAAGCGATTAAAAGATGTGAATTCATTTTATTTAAACTAGACTTGTACCCGTGCATTGCATGGAAAATAAATTATTATAGTCAATGAATTTTATTTTAATAATTAATATATATATATATATATATATAATTGTAAAAATTAATTAAACTCAATGCAGCATGAAGAAATAGAGAATATGATGGAATAGGACAATTAGAATGAAGTTTTGAAAAAAAATAAATTAAAAATTAAAAAATAGTTGAGATCAATTGACATTGAAAAACTGCAACCAATACATAAGAAATAAATATTCATAATTGTTTCTCTGAGTGGAAGACAAAGTGTGCAAACAATTTAATAGGAAACGTATGAAGTAGAGAGGAAGATGAATATGAAGGGTTTATGGTATTATATGATTGAGTTCAGACCTCGTACAATGTTTCTCTGTTAATAAGAATTATTAATTGACATTGAAAAGTTGTAACCAATGCATAAGAAATAAATATTTATAATTACTTCTTTGAGTGAAAGATAAAGTGAAAGTAATTTGATGGGAAACATATAAAACAAGGAGGAAAATGAAGGATTTTTCTTCTGTTAAGAAATATTAAAGGTTTAAAATTTATTAAATTAAAAAAATAAAATTCAGAATAATTATAATAAGATAAAGTTAATAAGTAGTTTTATTTTAAGTAGGAAAAGAAAGTCACAAATTTACTTTTTTTTATTATAATAAAGATTAACACACAAAAAAGTTTACAAGTTTACAATGTGGATCAAATAATTAATAATAGTGCACTAATATGCTAAACAAGCTTTTTCTTTTTAGCCAATGTATATATCAACATTATTGTGTTTAGTGTTGTCATATTACCATTAAGTCTTTTTTATATACATATGAAAACTATTGAGAAAAAAACTTTATAATCTTAGAGTTAAAGCGACATAGGTAAATCTCCTCTATGAGATATACTTTTTTGCAAGAATTAAGTCAAAAGTCTCTTTTTGAAATATTCTTATATATATTCTTATATCTTTCGGACTTACATATTTTCACTAAGACAAACTCCTTTAAATATATTTATTATTAAGCTTGTCATCAAGTAATGAAAGATATCCATTTTTACAAATTTCAATTTTGTGTGCTTAATTATTCCTAAACAAGAAATATTGTTAAATCAACATTCATTAATTTTCATAAATTTTAAAAAATAATTGTTATGCACTAATAATATAAAACAATTTTACATCATCAATCAATCATAATTCATTATTGATATGACTTCCAAAATTGCTATTATAAAAGTCAACAAAATTATTATATATAATGATTTATAATCCAATGAAAATGTTAAAAAAAAAAATTAAAAGTGTTAAATTATTTTACACTTAATGATAGCCTATTTTCTCTAATAAAAAAACTTAATTATACGATTTCGAAAATTTAGACATTCGATTTCTGAAATTACGCATTCAAATCAAGAGAATTACGAAGGGAATGCTGCAAATTTAGAGGTAACTAGGAACAAATTAAACAGAGGTAGAGTTGTTAAACTTGTACGCATGCATGTATGATTTATAATTTTATTCAATGGAGAAATTCAAAAACAGAGGAACGTATAAAAGAGAAAGTCTTATTCTATGTGTAGCCATTGAAGGTGAAAGCAGGTGGATATATATGATATCACACCGTGATGCATATATAGTAAACACACCAAAACGGAAGCAGAAGTTGAAAAGTTGAACAAAAAGCAAACTGGGGCTCTTTCACTTGACTCAACAGTTTATAGCATCATCACGATGGCAGCACTTGTAGTTAACAGAAGACACCTCCATGACGCGGCCACAAGAGGGATTTGGGCATGTTATGGTAGCTATGACACTTGAAGTATAGCCAACATTGATAAATTCACATGGTTGAGTAGCAGATATCTCTTTCTCCTTCACATCGTAGTACTCTTTGAAGGCAATGTCGAATCCATCGTTCAACACTTTTCCTTTCCAGTTTTGGAACTCTACCAGGGTCTGATAAAGAGCCTGGCCATGGCAAAGGAACTTTATGTTATGCCCTTTGCTCAGAATAGCCCATCCTTGTGGATCCCGTTTCAGACAAAACAGGCACTTCACTATTTTCTGAATCTCGCAGTCAATTGTTTCTTGATGCTTCTTGTTCTGTTTCTTCCTTTCTACGCCAAACCAGAAGCTCGGAACAGTGTTGGCTTCACCCTTCCCAAGTAGATAGTAATCTATTATAACATCTGCACGCTGGATGCTTTCATTCCTTTTCAGCTGTGACACTTCGTGTGTGAAGCTTTGGATCCACGTGTTATTGGTGCCTCCATACACAAAGATGTATCTGTCCTTTTTAACCTGAGTCACGTACATGAATTAAGTAACTCAATCTTATCAAAATGATGACTTTTCTAACCTGTCATATTTGTAAATAAATAATTGGATTCTTTCCCCTTAATTGCACTTTTTCTATAAAGTTTCACAATTATATGAATTTTTTATAATAACTTTTGAAATCATACATTTTATCATCAAAATAGACTATCAATTAACACCGATAAGACTTAAAAATGTGTAAAAATTTAAAAATTAAGCAACAAAAATATGTTGAAAAATTAAGGTTACCTGCAGTCCTGGTGTTGCTTTAACGAGTAAATCCCAAAGCCACTTCCATTTTTGATTAAGATCATCACCATCAATTTTCCTGAAAGGGAAGGCCTCTATGCCCCATTCAAAGATGACTTCAAGGGCATTTTCATTCAATATGGTACCTCCTTGGGTGAACAACGGGGCAATAGGCTGTTTCTCAAAATTCAATCTTTCTTTTATTATCTTGAAGCCTGGTAACTCAGAGAAGTATTCCACTGCATAAAATTTGATGATACTCTTCAAAGATTTGAACTGTTCCTTACGCCCATCGTTCCACTCGTCCACAATGGGGATCCACAAAATCTTGAATTCTTCTTTGTTGAAATTTTTCACTTCTTTTGGTTCTTCTTGCAATCTGTCGTGGATTGAGTTCAGAAGCGAAATCTCATCCTCAACGCTGTAGAGGCCCGAGATAAAGACCAACACATTTTTCTGCTTGAACACTTCAATGCTCTGTAAATTCAAAAACACAACATAATCATTAAACTCGGTCTCTAATTCAAAGGCACCCAATACGAAACTAACTAACCTCTTTAACCAGGAAGCTCCCTTCAAATATCTTGGGATTGAGATTCTGAGTTCCACTTCGTGGGTAGATCAGAGCCTTCAATTTTCCCACAATAGATTTAGCCTTGTCAAAGTCTTTCATGACATCAATGGAATTTTGTACATAGCCTGCAACAAATAAAAATAGCCTTAATTGGGTTCCCAACTCCAAATGATCGTAAAAACAGAAAGCTATTCATTTATTAACCTATTTGCTGACTGCATTTTGTGAGATGCGTTATCAATTCCTTAACAGCAGCAGCAAGCCTCACTCTATATTCTGATAACTTATAGCTCCTGAAAAAACAAACAATTTAAGTTACACAGTTGGATGACTGAAATTTGCTCACTAAATAATGAGCAACAAACACATCATATTCAAAATAAGTAACAAAATTTTGTACCTTAAACTAGTGAGTTAGAGGTGTTTGGTATTAAATTATAATGCATATTATATATAAAACAATGAGTTGAATAGATGAGAACTTACGATACACCAACAAGGTTGCCGGTAGAAGCAACAGTGGCAGCAATTATCCAGTATACAACAACAGGGATGGCTAGAAAGGCCTCTGTCAAGGAAGGGACTTCGTCGGGATCATAACCTTCAGCAGAATACGTTGCCCACTCTTTAATGTGCTGAAACACTTGCACTATGTAGGTCACCAGTTCGGTAAGATCAGCAGACACGTTCCTGCTCTGAACTTGATTCAGCTGTCTCAATGAGCTTCCCAGCACATCGTTAGTTTGAAACTGAGAAAGGTGCACCAAACTCCCGTACTCCAAAGACAGAGCAGCGATAGTTATCAGTGCTTTCGCATCCCACGAGTAGCATTTCAGATGTTGGAGAATCCACTTTGTTGTTTGGTGCACGCAATGCGCAGCATTGGGTGTCGATATCATCTGCATGTGTCACCGTTTCTATGTGTCAAATTAAATACCAACTAGCTTAGACTTTAATATGCTAATTAATATAAACCATCCCATGAGAATTAACCTGGCAAGAAATCAGCTTGAGAGTGGAGAATTCTGGTTTGAAACTGGCTGCGGAGATAATCGAGGATTGACTCTGTAAAACAAATATACATTTGTGTTTTTATAACTTGCTAAGGTTAACATAACATAGCCTTAGAGAATTATAAAAAAGTATGTGAATTAGTTACCCGAAGGACAATGTTGGAGACGAGGTTGTAGAGGTTGGGATCGCAAGGTTCATCGTCATTGAGGTGGGGCAGATGAACTATGTCGAGGATCTGATCGTCACTAAGATCAAATGGGTTGGACAAAGTGGGACGTTGTTGGATCGAAGTAGTTGTACTCTGTTGGATCAAAGTGGTAGTTGAAGCAGCGGTGGACAATGCCATGGTGAATCAAAAGGAGAGTAGTATCCTCTTGGGTTTGTATTTGAAAGCAAATGAAGCTTTGCACTGAGCTGAGTGGTGGTGCTCAACTTATTTATAGGGTCGAGTGCGTGAGAGTTTAAACTTGGCATAGTTACTTTAGCATAGAGATCACTCAAGAAAGGGACAGAAACAGAGAGAATAATATATAAAGTAGCTTCTGATTTTGTGGTCTCTAGGCGTGAAACATGTTGCTCCCATGTAAAGTTCACAACATACCCCTGTGGCTGTGGGGTTTCGGAAGCAATAAGTGAACTAATTGGGAGATCACCAGACTAAAATTGGGATTTTGTTGGAGTTGTTGCACCTAATTTGTTTCTTTTTTCTTCTATCTCAAGTGAATAAGGCCAAACTTTTTCTTTTCGGAAAGATAATGACATGTGAAAATATATAAAAATGTCTACGTATGACCAAATGTTCACGCAAATTGTTTGTAGAAACCTCCAAAATTTATATGCATTTTTGTATTGTTGCTAAGGATGTTCAAGTATGAGATGTTTAGTATGAAATTCTTATCGGATCTACGTAAGTTTGATTATTAGAAGAGCACATTTTAAAAGATAATGAAACATGAAGTTGGATCAGAACAACCAAAGTACAATTTACGGATGAAATATAAAGGTAATTGTTTACATATTTCTAGCATTATTTTTCGATCAGACTTTAAATTTCACCTTAATAACGTTGATTGCAGTAAATTTGTCTCTCAACCATGTGTTCAATAACCCAATTTTCATGTTTGTTTGTATGGAATAATATCACCTAAATAAATAAAACCCAATATATTAGAGTATTGGTCTTTCGTTTTTTATCATAAATATCTTACATTTAACAGGAGAATATAAAAAATATTTAACATTTTACATATAATGTTCGTCTATAATATATGAGTTTCATATTTATTTATAAGATTCAACTTAATAATTATTTTTTCATATAAGACTTAAGTTATATTATCTCATTATTAATTATTTTTATACTAAAATATTATTAATTAAAATATATTCTCTTAATTTAATAAAATACATTAATTATAAACTTTTTAAAAGATATACACATTTAATTAGTTAGGAAAAGTGAAGTATTAATCAAGAAAGAAATATAATATAAGAGTAATTTTAGAAAAAATATAAAAAATAAGATAAAATTATTATTATCGATTAGATTAATTATTTTTTTTAAATTTTGATGAATTAAGTAATTAGATCTTGTATAAAAAAATAAATGTAGTGAATTATTTAAAAAAAACACTTTAAATCTAATTTTTAATATTTAAATTTATCATAATTAGTTTTGGAACCAATTAATTTGTGAAAGAAGACCCATGCGCTTGTGGATTCGTCACTAAGAAGAGTAATAGTAACATCTCGGGGAACAAAGGCAAAAGTTCTAACGATCACATAGCTCGATTGAACATAGAAGCATAAAAAAATAAAAATAAATAGAGAGAGAGAGAGAGAATGCGTGTTTGACAAAAAACAATAATTCTTATAAAGACATATGAGGGGTTGGAATAAAAGCTTAAAAGATAAATTAAATCGTTACAGGGAAGATTCAATTTTGTTTCTCTATCCTTAACTTTTTCTTTATTATAATAAGTCAGTCAAACATTAAAATGTCTATAACAAGTTTTTTCTTTTACGTTATCTATCTATTGTTCTTTGAGATTGTTCGTTTGCTTTTTCTACTTTGTTTCTCGCGTTTATTATGTGTATTTTTCAATCTTTGGTGAAAAAAATAAAAACAATATCATACTGCCGAAATTAAAATGAAATAGGGAAAATATGTTTTGATGCTAATTAATAAAATGGGTGAAATTTAGTTTTGATTTTCAATATCTTTTTTATTTTTATATAATGAAATTTTATTTTAGTCCTTTTAATTTAATTTAATTTTTATCTCTTTAAAATTTAAACTCATTATTTTTAATCATTAATATATTTTAGAATATAAGTAAATTATATTTATTTTATAACTAAAAAATAAAAATAGTTTTGGAGTCATGTATTGACATGTCACCACTTCAGCATTATTAGGTCATTTCCAAAGGAGATCTCATCTTTAGGTTCTTAAGTGAGATCTACATGCATGTATATATATCACTCATTTTAACTCTTTTTAATTTAAGCATTTTTATAAATATTCTTCTTTTCAATCTAAGATCTCTCTTTCAATTCTTAAATAGGTCCCACAAAAAATCTTACATTTTTATATATATCATTAATAATTTATTTATTAACTTATTTTTTTATGAAGTTATAAATTAAAAGTTTTTTATTCTACTATTTTGTGAAATATTTTTTCATGATACAAAATAAAGAAAATATTTAACTAAATCAAAATTTATTTAAAATGATGAAGCCAACTAAATTACACAATTATGACAATATAAAAATTATAAAGTTAAAAAAATACATAATTAAAATAATAACTAATTTTGCAAACTATCATACCCAAAATATTCTCAAATATGTTCCACAAGGTTAGTTTGAAGTTGATGATGATGTTATCTATCATTAAGAAGTGCTTTTCTTTGTAGATATGGTGCAAGATTTCGATGAGGACTATTATGTATGTCGATTGATGATATATTATTATTGAAATATTCATAAGAATAATCAAAATTACCATCATATGTGTATATTTCATCTTCCACAATTATGTTGTGTAATATGATATATGTATATAATATATGTTTGATTGTACCCATGTATCATGCATGCACAAGGTCATGTATAAATGCAAACCAAGATTAAAGCACTCCAAAGGCATGCTCCACATTCTTTTTCACTGTCTCTTAATGTTGAACAAACAATTTTCTTTTATCTGCTTGTGACATTGGAAGAGAAAATTTAGAAAATTGATGAGTAAAAAATATACAATGATTTCTATTTATACAAATATTAATATATAAAATTATATTAAAAATAATTTTATAACATTATAACAAATATACGTTCTACTCTTATTATATACCATTAATTTTTTCTTTGAAATAGTTCACTTTATAACGTTAACAAATATAACAATAACAAAAATTGTATATCAAATTTTAGAATTTTATTATATAAACTTAATTTTTAATTAAAAGAATAGATGCACGTGTGTTTCTATAAAGGTTAAAACTTTTATTTGGTCCTTTATAATATTTTTTTGTTTCAATTTAGTTCCACTTTAATTTTTTGTTTCAATTTGGTCTTCAATAATTTAAATTATTGTAATTTGGGACTTCCGTCCAAATGATTTAAACGGAGTTAACTGTTGGCCATGTAGATATATACCAGGTGGATGCCACGTAGATGCGTAGGTGGACGCCAAATTTCTTGAATACACCTGGAACTAGAACGGTCCGTTCTGAAACCAGAACGGCCCGTTCTGGTTACACTATGGGTGTGTTAATTTTGTACTTGGAACGGGTCGTTCCAGATGCAAAATTAACATACTAATAGTGTAAATCCAGAACAGCCCGTTCTGATTTCAGAACGGGCCGTTCTGCTGCGCTCGTGGCGTGTTAAATTTGCATTTGGAACAGCCCGTTCCGGTTGCAAAATTAACACATAACATGTGCAAGCAGAACGGGCCGTTCTGCTTTCAAAACGGGTCATTCTAGTTCCAGGTGTATTCATGAAATTTGGCATCCACCTATGCATCTACGTGGCATCCACGTAACCAACAGTTAACTTCGAAAGTCCCAAATTGCAATAATTTAAATTATTAGAACCACCTATGCATCTACGTGGCATCCACGTAACCAACAGTTAACTTCGAAAGTCCCAAATTGCAATAATTTAAATTATTAGAAACCAAATTAAAACAAAAAATTAAAATGAGACTAAATTGAAACAAAAAAATATTATAAGAGACCAAATAAAAGTTTTAACCTTCTATAAATCAGTCACTTAATTAAAATTAACCACAATAAAAAATCTTATTCGAATCTTTCAAAGAACTTGCGGAGTTTAAGACTTTGCGTTATGGATGACCTTAAGTACTACAATTAAGATAGTCATGCCACTAGCTAGATATGTAACTGATGTAAGTAATTAATTGTTATTAGTTATTACACGATTATTTGGATTTTTTATTTTTACAAATATGATAATAAAAAATTAAAAGTAAAACGAATCATTAGAGTCGATTTAGTGATTGAAAGTTGAGATAGAATGTACAAATTTTCGATTCAAATCCTAATACATTATTAATTCTAATGAATAAAAAAAATTAAAATATAATTAAAAAAATCTTTATAAGAAACAAAATTTAAATTTATTTTATAAAAACATAGTTATCATACAAATTATATATATATATATATAGTAATGTTATGTGTCAATTTGTTATATTAATAAAATTTTCAAGTTATATGATACATTAAACCATTAATATAATTAAGTTCATAATTTTTAAGATATTTTTAAAAAGTTAATTTATTAAACAAAAAATAGATCCACAAGCATAATTTATGGCCCAATGGATCAGGAGATGTCATAACAGGATAATAAAAGTATCCACAAACATAAGTCTAACAAATAACAATTAATGTTTTTGGATAATATTTCATTTTTTTTTAGTATTGGTTGTAGTTTCTCTATCTCTTTTCCTTAATCTGGAAATAAAATATTCAAATTACCTCTAATTTATCATGTCATTCGGTGTTTTATTTTTATTCTTTATGTTTATCTGTTATTCAGTTTCAAGTGTGAAGAAAAAGCTTTATATTGTAGACCCGTTTGTCACATTCACCAAAAACTGTGTGGAGGGGTGCTCTCTGTATATATTCGTGTCTTTGTTCTAATGTTCATTTGAATATGCAATGAAATGCTACATGTAATGGAATTTTTGACATCTCAAATGTGATTTTAAGAAATTAATAACTATATCACGTTTCAAACCTAATTTCTGTTTTCTTAAGGGGTTTCCAAACATGGTAAGCGTCATACAGTGAAAGACTCAACGGCAAGAATTATGAGAGATTCGTAGCGATGTGAATCATAATTTGCTAAAGCATTTACTAAAGCATGCTGCAAAC